GCTTCTTCTCTTTGCCTGTGCAGTACACGCTTTCTACTGTTTGGCTGCTGCTAGAATCCCTCCTGCGGTATCAAAATTCACTTTGCCTCAGTAGTGTTTCCTCTGCTTTTGAGATTTGTTTATTCATGACGTTTCCAGCCAGGTGGTGGTGCCCAAGGTGGCTTGCAGGGATCAGAAGACAATGCAGAGGACAATTAAGAAACAAAACAAAACATTAAATGGGAATGGAATTATTGCTTGCCTGTCTGCTGACCGGCCTCTTGTCTTGGGAGGACAATGGGAGGGGGTTGTTGGTGGGTGGAGTCTGAGCTAGACCCAGGCACGATGGAAAGTGCCTGGCTGCTTCCTGCCCCTCCTCTGCTAGCTTTCCAAACGTTTGCTGTGAACTTCTTGTGAGATCGATTCCTTTTTACTAAAATTAATATATGAAATACTTGTCCTGTTCTAAAGACACAAAGCATTGCATAGTCCAAGTACAAATCCCTCTACCCAATCCAAACAGAAAAAAGAAGGGTAAGTCTTACAAGGGTGAATGCGTGGGTCCCCTTGGATCCTTGACTGTCCGTGGTGATTTTCCAATTATCTGGCTAAAGTCCTTTGGTGTTGATATGACCTGGGATTCTGTGGCAGAAGTCTGGGTGCATCTCTCAGAATATACAAGTGATAAAGCTGCAGTTCTGACCACTAGGATGCAAGCAGCTATGGGAGGAGGAGACTGCCACGGAGTCTGACCGAACATGGGTTGAAGCCCCGCTCCCAAGTCCACTGTCTATTCCAGAGAACTTTGGGATAGATGGGTTGGGCCTCTCATGAGGCTCTTTGTTTGAAGGGCAGGCAGAAGTTCTTTGGCACAGACAAAGGGGTCAGTAGAAACTGCCGGTTATGACTGGTATGTAAGCCAAGTTCAAATCTGTTGTTTCCTTACTGTAGAAAGTTGTTTCATCTAGGAGAGCAGTCCATCATGTGAGCCGCCACCTGTGGTCTGAGGTGGCCCAATTTGGACATGGGTTTGACTGCCTGTTGGTAAAAACTAGGCCTTGACCAACAGAGCTTTCAGGTAGCACAAATAGCTGTCTGAAGCTTTGGGGAGGCACATTCTCATCTGTGCTACTGCTACTTTCTAGGTTTTCTCCTATATTTTCTTAAAGCATAGCAAGAGCCCTGCTAGATCAGACCAGTAGTCTGTCTAGTTCAGCAGCCTGTCACATAGCAGCCAACTGGTTTCCTTGGAGGGACAACAAGCAGGCCACAGAGATCAAGGCCTTCCCCTGATACTGTCTTCTGGCACGGGCATTCAGAGGTTTGCTGCCTTTGACTATGGACCTTCCCTTTGGTCATCATGGCTAGTAGGTAGTGATGGATCTCTCCTCCATGAATCTGTCTAACCCAGTGATACTCACTCAGTGGCTCAGGTATCACATGTGGCTGTTTGACATGCCTCCCGTGGCCCTTCTGAGCACTGTTCCCTATGGCACCGAGCCCCATGTTCCAGCAAAAATGAACAATTGCTTTAGGAATTAGAATAATTTCATACTTACTGTGGGCCCAAGATAAAACTCTTTTCGCTGTTGTAGATTTTCCAGGTTGTCTGGCCGTGGTCTTGGCATTGTAGGACCTGATGTTTTGCCAGTAGCTTTGACTGGCATCCTCAGAGGTATAACACAGAAAGACGGAGTACTCTCTGTGTCAAGGTTTCCTTGGAGGGCCTTGACACAAAGAGTACTCCGTCTTTCTGTGTTATGCCTTTGAGGATGCCAGTCACAACTACTGGTGAAACGTCAGGTCCTACAATGCCAAGACCACGGCCAGACAACCTGGAAAATCTACAACAGCTAATGAATTCCGGCCGTGAAAGCCTTTGGCAACATATTAAAACTCTTTTGTTTTTAAAATGCAATACAGCTTGCCTGTGTTCATGCTATCAAGGTTGTATAGATGTAGGGGTTCTTTGTTGGAGGCTGGATCAACATATGCAGCTGAATAAGGCAATAGAACGGGGCATACCACTGTAGAATGCTAGGCCATAAAACAAAACTCCCAGTAGTGGGGAAAGACAACCCTAGATGCTCAGAGGTACTCTGGTAATTAAAAGGGTTGTGCATGCGTGTGTGTGTGTGTATAGAGAGAGAGAGCGCATGCTTGGAGGTGGCATACACACTAATCATGTGGCTCATTTGGTTGATGGCGAATAGTGAATGTGGCTCTCTGCGATCTGCAGAGTGAGTACCATTGGTCTAACCCGTTTTAAATCCAGCACTGTGTGTGTGACTTATTTGCAGACAAACTAATTTGTCAAGGCGTCTGTTAAGTAAATCTGTATGTGTTTTAATTTAGCATGCAAAGGAATCTGAATATGCAGAAGCGATTGAAGCCCTAAGAAAAGAACGTGACATTTTTTCAAATCTGATAAAATCTCTGAAAGATGCTGAAGGGTGAGTGTCCAATTCTTCATTCTAGGCGAGTTTTTGAATATAAATGACATAAATTGTGTGGCTGTTAGCAGAATTGTACGTATATGGAACCACCACCAAGAGTTTTAACAGTAAGGAGGAATCTTTAACTCTGGCCCTGTGGGAGCGTACCACTCTTTGGAGCAAAATTCCGGCATTCCATCCTGCCATGCTAGTACAGCTGGTTTTATGGTGATTGAAAAGATTTTAGAATAGCTCTTCTAAGCGGGAAATGTAAGGCTTTCGTTTGCCAGGCTAGGCTGGAGACAGCAGGGAAGCCCCTCTCCCTGGAGAGATTGTAGGTCAGTTGTAGAAGATCTGGTTTGCATGCAAAAGGCTCAGGTTCAATCCCTGGCATCCCCACTCAAAGGACTTCAGGTAGCAAGGCTGGGAAATAGTTTCCTATGGTCACAGGGCTCTGGAGAGCTGCTGCCTGGCAGAAGACAATAATGGTCTGATTGCATATGGAGTCACCCCTTTCTTTGACCAGAAAATGCTCAGATCCCCAGGAAATGGGAACAGCATTCTGAACACAAGAAAGATGATTTGTCTGTCAGGGGGAAACAAAGGTAAAAACTGTAAGAATGCCAAATGTGTTAAACTCATAGTATCCTTAATTCCTGAGGCTTTTGAAACACAAACCTTCTTGAAGGGAAAATGGACTAGCAAGAAAATTTGATTACATTTGAGACCCTTCTCCTTTTGCGCCTGAAACTTTCCCCAAGTCATTTACGGCTGTGCAACTTCTCAAACAGACCACCAAGTCGTTCTTTAACTTAAGACAGGCATGGGCTGTTTGAGGCATGATTTACACTGCATAAGGACCTTGTATCTGTTCTGACTCTTTTCTATCAGATGTGTGCTGGGCATTCTGTGACTATAACTAAATTCCCAAGCACCTGAAGCCTGATGTGGATTGGGGCAATGGAGGGGGAGGGCTTGTCTCCCCCACCCCCACTGTTTTTCTGACCTGAAATGACTCCAGGAAACCACTATTTCCCCCCCTTGGAGAAACATGTGAACAGCCCATCAATACATATGTAGTCCCCAGCAAGGCAAAATAGGGCTCTCTGGAGTTATTTCAGGCCAGGAAAATGGTGTGGGGAGAGGGGGAGGCCGTGGTCCCAGTCTGAATTGAGCCTGCATGTGTGCAGTACAAAGTTCTGAGCGTGGGACTCCCAGCAGCTGTCTGATTGAAAGGAGCAGGGTGGACGTATGGAGGACACGAGGACTTCAAGCCCTGTACATTGGCCCCGAGTCATTGTGCTGCCTTAACTTAGGAAGAGTCTGAGGAACAAAATATCGAAGCTTAGTTTGAAGTACGTGAGCAGATTTGTCTGCCTTCCTTAACTCGGGAAGCAGTTCTTCCTTGAAATGGATTTATGTTTGAAACATGACAGGGATGAAAGAGAACCTTTTTATGCAGCTGCAACTCTTGCACAGTTTTGCTACCTTCTGAACCCTGTCGGAAATGGAAACGATAGGATTGAAACAGCCATTTGCCTTCGAAGGAGGGGGGGCCCTCCTGATTTGGGGGTGATTCCTCCCATCTGGGTCTGGAGGCAGGGCAAAACATCTAGCACCCACTCTCCTCTTCCAGATCCATCCCGCCTTGGAGGAGAGAACAGGGGTAGTTGGGGACTAAGGCAGGATATGCATTTAGGTTTTTTTGTGCTTAAACTTCCATACCTTCTTTTCTGTCCCCACAGCCAGATTAGCAAGTCAACATGGGGAGGGAAGAATTCCCTTTTTTCATAAATAAAGATGAATTTGATTTTTGCAGTCCTAGCAATATCTCATTTGTGGAAGATAAACTGGTGTTAGACCCAGCTAGATGGGCCACATGCGTTACGTCACCACTCTGTTTTGGAAAAACCCATTGTTTGATTCATTCTTCAGTTCAGCCTATAAATTTCTGCCAGTCCCTTGTGTTGGCAGCAAAGTACTGGATGTGCTTCCTTTAGTTCAGCAATAACCTTCATTAAAGAAATGGACAGTCGGCAAAAAAGCCGGTTGCCCATTTGTTTTAGGTGACCTTAATTTTGAGTTGTCATTTTACCACCAATCTCTCTACACTTCTTCCATGTTGAAGCTGAGATAATCCTTCACTGAGATGTCAGAACAAGTTCTCTCCAGACTGCAGGGGGTGCACCTTACCTTAAAAGTATTATCTTTGTAGGGGAGTGAGAGTTTGCGAGGCAGCGGTTTTTTGTTTTTTAAAAATATATATATATTGTTATCTTTCCTTTTTGTTTTTGTTGGAGAAGCTGAGCATTCAGGGTTACAAGTTGGGGGCCAATGAGGACTTTGGGTAGAAACATTTGGGAAATCCCCCCCCCCCCACTCCACCCCTCAGATCTTCCCCTCCCAGGATTTATAAGCTTTCAAGTACTTGGGCAAGATAATTTCTCCTTCTCCCTCTGTATTTGTTTTCCCTTTAACTTGACCCTCTCTGTTCTGTGCCTCCTGGAGTATGCTCAGTCCTCATCAGGCTGCTTTTCCCTCCCTTTTGATTAATTTGCGTTTTCTGCATACTTGGGGAGAGTCCCCCCTGAGTCTGTAGAAACCCCCACCTTGTCATAAGTAGCAGCTTTCATGATTGGCCCAAACCACCACTTGACTATTAAACATGGTAACGATGACTGAGGCCTTTCTCCTTTTGAGGATTTTTGGGGATGAAAGGTAATTACGTACTTCAAACAGTCCCAGGACTGGTTACTACTTTCTCTTTGTTCTGTCCACAAAGAACTTCGGAGTCTGTGTATACACAGAGCTTGAAGGCCACGACTTTGGCCAATAACTTCCCCCAAAGCTCTATTTCAGCCATGCAAATATCATCTGAGTTCTTGTTTGCCCTGTCATCTCTAACCACCGTGTATTCAGACTTTTGTGAAATGTGTCTTGTCTTCAGTGCTTCACATATATCACCTCTAATTTATATTAAAATAAGTTCCATTTATATTAAACGAGGGGGAGGATTTTCTTTTTGTATGAAAGTAGGTGGTGTGAGGCAGTGTGGTGGCAGCTCCTAGATTATTAATGTTTAATATTCAAGTTAATTGACTCCTGCCCCATTTTTCATTTTTTAAATTGTGTGTAATTTAAGTGCCTACTCATAACTAATCTTTAGAAGCTGCTGCCGTAGGTAGATGAGACGGTTTTCATAGCTTAGAGAGCAATTTAGCCCTCAGAGTTTGGGATACAATAGCAAGCCAGAGATAAACTCAAAGGCGTTTGTAGCAGCTCTCTTCTGTAACTGGTTTCGATCTCAAAATTTGGCTTTCCATGCTCCAGAACTGGAGCGCATGAAGCTTTATACCAAGCTTTGTTTAGCTCAGTACTGTTCAATTTGACTAGAGGGTGTAGACTTTCCAATTTCCCGGGGGGGGGGGCTGGGGCTGGGACAGAGGCATTGCTTTGCTAGGAGCAAGGGTGGCTCCCGGGGGAGGCTGAGCACCTTCCTGAAAATTTCGGCGGGGGCTGAAGCCCTGCCGCCCCCACGAAGATTACGCCTATTCTGCTCGAGGGCCAAACGAAACGTGACGACGTATCAGAGTGCACCATGGGGACTGGTCGCCACAGTGCAGCTATGAGTTCTGTCCCGCCTGTGCTGCAGTCCTGATCCAAATTGTGGGCTGGTGTGGTGCTTCTAAATGGAGCTGCCACTGGGAACTCACAGCTGCAGCATGGCAGACAGTCCCCAAGGTGAACTTGTGTAAAATATCACATTTAGTTTGGTCCTCATGGGATCCTTGGGATCTGCACGTAAAGCTCTAGCCATCCCCCCCCCCCCCCCGCCCTTTCCAGTCTTCAAAATTACCTCAAAGTTTTGGACCTCATTCACACTGAGATGATCAGTCTGTATCTTGGCTGTGCTTCGCACTCCAGGTGAGGAACTCTTCCATAGAAAGGAAATCCTTGCCTACTGGAGCCTGGGCTACATTAGTGTCATTGTCCTTGATGTCATAGCTTTCTACGTGTGAAATTTTTCATTTTCATTTTTTGGCATGGAGGAGTGTTCAGTCATGTGATTCCCCCACCTATACCCTGAAGTGCCTCAGCCCAAACACAGATTTACAGTCTGATTTGCTCTTTATGAGAAGTTAAGGTTAATTTATTTTGTTGTCCCAGATCAGCAACAGAATACACTGGATATCTCTGTGTTGAATTTTAAAAGCTCATCAATTTGATTTCCTTGGGGCGGAGGGATAAACCTGAAGTTAAGTGCATCTTGATGATTCCTGAGAACTGCCAGAATGGGGACATGCAAGTTTTATTGTCATCTTATGTAAAGATTTGTTTACACCGTAATCTCAAGATGAGAGGAATGTAGGTTTTAAAGGGAGTTTAGCGCTTGCTATTTTGGAATGAGTTCTTTTGTAGAAGCCTTGATGTATAAAAGATGCCGGAGGTGCGCGACAAAATGTTTTCCAACGTTTGACGAAGCCCAAGATGCATTGTCTTAGAGCTTCAGCTGTCTGTTTTTTGTCTTAAAAAAAATTAATCTAGGGTAAATAACCTGCAAGCAGAGCTGAACAACATTTCTCTGTTACGCAAGCAACTGGAAGATGACATCTTGGCGAACTGGAATTTGCGGAAAGAACTGGAAGAGCAAATCAAGGCTAACAAAGGGGAAGGTAAGGGCAGATATGGAAAAGTGGTTTCTTCTTCCCTGCTGGCTCTTTTGTTTGCTTTTGAGGAAAGAAATAAACATGTCGATTGCACCACTCTGGAGTAGCAGCAACCACATAATAGGCACAATCTAGACTGAATAAGTTGAGCCAAAGGGCTGAACGTAATGCTGCACAGGAGGATGCTTTAACTGTCTCTAACTTTTGGCCTTCTACTGAGTCAGATTTTGGGGGGGGGGCGCATCTGGTCCAGCAGAGAAACATTGTGAGCAGAGGCTGCTTAACAACTCCCCCACCAGTTTGCTCAGAATCGGCCTCCCAAACTGTGTTTCACTCTAAAGGTGAAAATATTTCCAGTAGGAAAAGCATCTTTGTGCATGTGGGTGTTGAGCAGAAATCCAGCAAGCTGGGAAAAGGTTAAGCAGCCTGTCCTCCTCCATACCGCTCTTTCAACTACTGATGGGAATTCAGCCACTCAGTTGCTATTAAAGGGAACCCACTGGGAAGGAACCTACAAGGAATTGCAGAAGGAGGCGGGACTCTGGTGTCCCCTTTCTTCCTACACTGGTTGTTTTGATTAGACTTACCGTATATACCAGCTCTTCATCCTGGAACGTTTGCCCCAAGGTGAAATTTTGTTACCCCAACGGGTTCTTACCAGACAGGGATGGGGCTCACAGACCAAAATGCTCCTTGGTTTCCCTAAAGCCCCCCCCCCCCAGCAGGCTGACTGCAATGTATCCCTTCCCACAATTAGATAGTTCAATGACATAAGTTGCTATTTTCTATTCAGTTCCTGCAGTCTGTTGCGCCAATAGCAAACTAAAAATTCTGCAATGTTATTTAACCTGGCTTTTCCCCTTGAGACCCAGGGTTCATTTTCATGAAATCCCAACTACAGCAGAATAATTCATGTGTTCCAATAATTTTTGTTTTTTGCTTTGCACCTGCTTGAAATTATTTCAAAATGCAATGCTAAATATGTAAATTATAATTTCTGCATTAGATTCACAATGCATGATAACTAGGGAGGATGTCTAAGATGTCAAGAAGGTACAAAGGAATACAAGGGTAAAAGTTCTTTCAATTAAAGAGAATGCTTTGTGTGGGATGGAACAGGCAGCTATAATTTCGTCTCGATTTACTCATCTGGTATTTATTATAAAATCATATTTTGCATGATTATTATATATCACCCCAAAGTACACATAAGATTAGAACAAAAGTGACCCTTACCCAGTGTGGTTTATAATTTAAAACACAGTCTTTTCAGAACCAGGACCCACCTTTATCCTCAACTAGCAGCGTGAACCCCTGTTTTAAAATGTTTGCAAATGTTCTTGCCGTTATGGGAATAAATGTTGAGGATCTTCAGAATATCATGCTCCCTCCTCCTCTCCTTGCTTGCCACCAGCATATCAGAGACCTCTGTATGACAATAAGCCATAGTTTGCCAGTATTCAGAAGATATTCAACCCACCAAACTGCAGTTCACACTTCCTCAGCAAACCAGGATTAAACAGTAGTTTGGAATCCTGATTTGCCAAGGGAAGTGCAACCCATAGTTCACTACTTCAGACAGTGGCGAACTATGATTTGCTGAGAGTCTGGAAGTCTCATTTGGCTGGCTGTGCACAAAGATAAGAGGAAGTGGGAAACACAAGAGGATCATGATTACCCAGGCTTGTCCATTATGTTTGAAATAAACCAGTCTCTTTCTTACAACATATGTAAAGTACAGACTTACTGGCTTAATAGTTATTCCTTCTCCTTGGGGAACCTTGGGATTTCGGTGAGGGTAGAGGTCTCTAACAGAAGCTATAGCACCTACTCTAAAGTACAGTTCTTGGAATATTTCTTTTTGGAGGGTGGCTGTAGAGGGCCATGACATTGTAATCAAGAATTAGTGTAGGTGATATATAGCTAAATCCTGTCTCTTTTTCTCACCCATCCTGTCTTTCTACTTTTTCCTTTAAAAAACACAAATAGTGCTGGTACTGCAAGCTCCCGAAGGTCAGGCCGTGACTCAGTTCCATGTCCTGATGCACTAACTGAAGACTAGGAGTATGCATTCAGCTATATCCAAACCATTAAAATATCTGGAAAATAGCTTATCGGTATTTCCCGGCTATTCTTTCAGCTGGATATAGATTTGGGTATCTGAAATGGCCAAGCCCCCAAAATCCCCCCCAAAATTGGGATTTTTCAGGACTGCCAGATTGTTGAAGTTAAAGGGTATTTAAAGGGATTGCAGTCCCTTTAAATGCCTTCTGGGTGGTCTCACTGCTTGAAGAAGGTGTTTAAAGGTACTGTGAGCCTTTTAAACACCTTTGGAGTTTACTTGCAGCTTGAAGAAGACATTGAAAGGGACACGAACCCTTTAAACACCTTTCCCCCCTCCATTGAAACTAATGGAGGGTAGGGGCACCTTCTTTGGGGGCCCATAGAATTGGATCCCTGGTCCAACCTTTTTGAAACTGGGAGGGGGGGTTGAGGGGAGGCACCAGCAGCTATGCTGCAAATTTGGTGCCTCTACCTCAAAAAATAGCCCCCCACTGATCAATTCCCCATTAGGCCCTATAGTATACCCATACTGGTATTGGGATTTGTGAATATCGGAAAATACTGATTTACCTGAACCCAAAAAAACCCCTGATTTTTTTTGCACACCCCTATTTAAGACCATTGATCTACAGTATAAATGCAAAACTTTCTTAGGAGAGCTCTTTCTATTCCAACCTTATTTCCACCTGTACAACAAAGGAGCTCCGAACAGGAAGTTAGCTACAGGGGCCTCTCCTTCCTATCCTGATTGAAGCTCAGCACCCAGGATTGGAATTTCCTTGGCCCAAGCCAGATTTCACACAAGAACTTCCCCCTTTTTTCATACCCATATTCCTGTCTGATAATGACCTCAGATTGCTCCTGTGGTGCCTTTGGAGTTCAGCCAACTGCCTGGCTGCATTACCAGCAACCCAGTGGAGAGGCAAAACTTCAGAACTGTTGCTACAAGGCAAAAATGTATTTAATGTATATCTAAATAGAATTGTTTTAATTTTTTAACATTATGAAAATATAAATTTACTAGGGGAAAGAAGAGAGTAGTTGAGTGTGTGTGTGTGGGGGGGGGCAAAGATTTTAGGAAATGGGTTTGCACAAGTCTTTAAGACATTATCAAGTTCTTGAAGGGGGATGGTTGGGTGGGGTTGGAGAGATTTTCCAAATCATTTATCTCCCCATTACAGCGATTTCTGTGTGTTCTTTGGGGCAGCAATCAGATGGTTGAGTAACTTTCAGTAGGGCAGTGAGGTAGAGAAAGTATAGTTTTCTGCTTCTTCAGGGGGAATCTCCAGGTATGCAAAACAATTTATTTATTAATTTATTATTTACATTTATAGCTTGCCCTCCTCGCAAGCAGGCTCAGGGCGGCTCACAAATAGGGCACATGCCAATACATAAACAGGTTAAAAGCAACATAAAAACAATCATTTACAATATTACAAGTGCTCTAGATGTTTCAATCAGTCTTCGATAAAAAGATGGCATCTTAAGATGGTACTCCCAGTTCAGTGGTGTCAGCTCCTCGCAGCGCTGTCGTTCACTCCTCACAGGGCCAGTTGGTAATGATGGTAAAGGTAGTGGCGGCTCCTACTCAATTACTAAAAATACCCCCTCAAACAACAACAACAACCCATCCTGATAAGATATGAGCACACTCTTGGCTCTCTCGGGTGTACAGAATGTTGAGGGCAGGTGGGCCTCAGTTAAAACAAACAAACAAAAAGGAGAGTGGGGAAATCCCCTCAAGCCCCTAATAGCTTCTGGGATCCTGGAGGAGAAAATTAGTTTGGGAAATGTCTGTACATGCGCAGAATTACAGAATGTATTTAGACTCAGCACTAATAAGAATGTTAAAACCTGCAAATAATTTTTCACCCACGATGGAAAATCAATACGGTTTAGTTTTGTTGGTTTATGTAATTGTCGCCCCGCGATATCCGGCCCGTGTGACCGAGGTTGTAATTGTCTTTCTGCCCACTGGAGTGCCAAGGGCAGCTTGAAATCCAAAGATAAGTAGGAACACATCAGAAAATTCAGATCTAAAACAGAAAGCGCAAGAGCAGTAAAACAGGCATCCACTGAAAAGGGGGACACTGTAAACATAAAACTCAGAATATATCATGCAAAGGCATACCGGAAGGAAAATCTCCAGAATCCACTCTGGAAGGCATGAAGAGGATGGTGCGAGTGTCCTCTCCTGTGCAGCTTCCTGAAAAGGCCTTCCTGTGGGTCCCCACCAACTTTACCAATACGATTCTCACAGGAAGGTCCCATTCATCTGTCTCAAGGCTCAGGCACATTGATATGAGTGGAGGCAGATTACAGGTACTGATTAAGTTATGTAAGGAATGACTTATTTATTATTTAAGAATGTAAGGAATGACTTATTTATTAATTTTAATAACGTCAGGTTTGCTGTTTTTAACTCCTATTGTACATCGCCCAGAGCCCTGTGTATTCAGGGATTGGGCGATCCATAAATTTAAAGTATGTATAAATAAATAAATAAATAAATATGCAATGTAGTCTTAGAGGAAGAAGGGAGGATTTTCCAATGCAAGCGTAGATTCCAAATTTATAATTTATTTATTTTTTTTAGAGGAAACTTTGTTTTCTTGGGGTGACCAGACCTCTTACATGAGTATTTGCATAGGCGAACAAGATCCCTTAAACTTGCGGATAGACCAGCTGTCTCTGGAAGAACTTAAGAAAAAGGTACTACTCTCTTGTTCAGTGAGCTTTCTTCTCACCAACTTCTCACCACACAACAGGGAGTAAGTTGTTGCATCTTGTTTTCCTGTTCAGTTGTCATTTTCTTTCCTAAGTCACTACTTTAGCCCTTTGCTGATTGTTTGCTGGAGAATAAGGTAAATTCTTACCATGGGGCGCTTTCACACATGCTAAATTAATGCCGTTTCAATCCACTTCAGCAACCGTTTGCAAGTGGATCTTGCCATTTCACACAGTAAAATCCACTTGCAAAGCGCACTGAAAGTGCGTGTGTGTGTGAAAGCGCCCATGTCTTTAGTGGCAGTGTATTTGTCCACTTTACGGGTCTTTTCCTTCGTGCGTGATGGCAGCAGAATTGCCCCATGGAGGGAGGCAGGGTTGCCCGGGAACACGTGACAAGAGGGAGGGACTGATACCCCCCCTCCCCCAAGAGCTAAGTGGTAAACCAAAATGCCGGCATAGAGGAAGCCTGTTGACTTACCGGATACATTAGAGAGAGACAGCTTGTCAGCCAAAGTGCCTGGAGCTAGAGCTGGCACAGCATGGCCACTGCTGTGGGGGCCCCACTTCCTGTTCTCACTGCCAGCTATAGTCTTCTTGGTTCCTTCAGGCATACCTGGGGCTTCAGAAAAGAACAAAAGGCATGTAGGTGATGAATTGCCTGCCTCATTCTACTACGTTTAGATCTAGGCCCTTCTCTATAGGCAGCAACTATGTATATGAGAGCCAGGTTGTAGAGCTTAGTGCCAGACTGGAAGCGGGGCAACACAGACTCAAATCACCACTCAGTCATAAAACTCAGGGAGTGAGCCTGGCCAATCATTCTCTCTTATCCTAAACTATCTCATGGGTACATGGTGAGAATAATGTGGGGAGAGGAACAACCAGAATTGCCATCCTGATCTCCTTGGGAGAAGGGTGGGATAAAAGATAAGAATGCAGGCACTTCCAATTCAGAGGCGTGTGCGTGTTTCAAACCTGATCAGCTTTAACAGTCAAGTGATGCCAGCTGGTAATCTACATTGATAAAAATCACAGCATGTGAAAAAGTGGGAGGAATATAACAGATCCCCCCCAGTTCCTGAAGCTTTTCTTTTTGCTTTCTTAGATTATGGAACTCCTCTTGTTGGTGAAGGAGCTGCGTTCGGTTAATCAAAGTCTCAGAGAGAAGCAGCTGGATGGTTCCAAGGTGGATTCTGTGGCACAGGAAAAACTGCAAACATTAGATGAGAATGAGGTGAGGAAAACCTTGGGCTTGGTGTCCTATTCCTATTAGTTGGGGCAGTGTGTAACCATGCGTTTTTTGTTTTTAAGTGCTGTTAATGAATAATGTGCTGACATTGTTGAATAATGGCAAGTTCATAGGATGAGAACACTGAACAGTGCTCGAATGCATCTTTCCTTGGACTGGCATCTGCTGCTCTGGGCATATTTACCCTTCCAATTTGCTACTCAGTGTTTTAGCCTAGTTTTGACTGAGGTTGTCAGTCTGTGTTTGGGCTGTACCATTCCAGACTGTAAGCAGGGGCCCCTTTTGATAAAATGGTTCTTCACAGAGAAAGCATTCCCCACCCATGGAAAGCGAAATGCCATGGAGAAGGGTTCTGTCCTAGCTTTCTTTTCCTGAAAGTTTCCTGGGAGCAGGAATTTGGTTTGTATGCAGCAGAAGCATTCAGTCATTAACCCTCTTCCCACACTTTTAAGTGAGTTGGTACAGTTCAGACACTGTTACCTTAGTGAGAACTAGACCTCAGTCAGGCAGAATGAACAGCTTAGCTAGGTCTCAGATCCATAGAAAACAATGTTTACCAGTTAATTGCTGCAGGTTTTATTTCAGTGGCTTGTGTGATTCACCAAGACAGTCCTTAGCCTTCTGTGGATTTACTATAACTGCTGAAAAAGTGTGTGTCTTTGTGTATTCTGTCCTGTGAACCCCCACCTGCAATTGAAAGCTGTATTGTCCAGACAAGGTTTACCTCATCAGGGGAGAACTCCTTTCAGGAGGGGCTGTGGCTCAGTGACAGAGCATGGCATGCAGAAAGCACCATATTCAATCCCCAGCATTTCCAGTTAAGGATCAGATCATGGGTGGTGTGAAAGACCTCTGTCTGAGACTCTGGAGAGCTGCTGCCAGTCTGAGTTGACAGTAGGGTTACCAAGTACCTGCCGCGAATCGGCGGGGGACACATGCTTTCCCTCCGGAACATTCCTGCCTGTAACACACCCGTGTTGTACTGTGCTGTCACCCAGACATTATATCAGCACGCTGGGCATGTAGCCGGGGGACGCTCTGGCAATGGGGCTGAAAACTCGATGGTACCATCGAGTTTTCAGCCCCATTGCTAGAGTGTCGCCCGGCTACGTGCCTACGTCACGTCTGGGTGACAGTATAGTGCAGTGTATGTGTTTTCCCCGCGGGAATGTTCCTGCCAAGAACTATGTGTCCCCTGCCGATTTGCGGTATGTACTTGGTAACCCTAGTTGACAGTACTGACATACATGGACCTATGGTGTGATTCTGTGTAAGGCAGCTTCATGTGTTCATGCCTTCAAAGTAATGTGCTGTTTATGCATGCCCAGGAAGCACCGTACTTAAGTGATCCCCCCCCCAACTATTCCTTTTATTTTTGTTAAATATATTTGATATGTGTATGTATATTTCCCCCCCACCCAAAACATTCCTTTCTATAATAGTCAGTCCGTTTATTATTACAGTCATCGACCAGTACATATCAATTTAAAAGACAAATAGAAAAATTCCCGACAGTATCCTGGCAAGTTATAAGCCAGAAAAAAAATCCTTAGTAACATAAAAACGTATAAGTTATATAGAATATAAAGGAAATAAGTAAAACTACTGTTCAAACCTTTTAAACCATTTAAAAAGTCAGTTTGAAACAATTTTAGTTAAAAGGAAGAGTCTAAAAGGAAGTGAGTCTATTTGCCTCACTTTTTGCATTCATTTCTGTTATAGTATCGTTAGAATGCACATTTCAGAAAACAATAGAACATAAGAACATAAGAGAAGCCAATGCTGGATCAGGCAAATGGCCCATCCAGTCCAACACTCTATATCACACAGTGGCCAAAAATACCAGGGGCCATCAGGAGGTCCAGCAGTGGGGCCAGGAAAATAGAAGCCCTCCCACTGTTGCCCCCCCCCAAGCACCAAGAATACAGTGCATCACTTGCCCCAGACTGAGAGTTCCGATCTATACCTTGTGGCTAATAAACCTCTGCTCCATATGTTTATCCAATTCCCTCTTGAAGCTATCCATGCTTGTAGCTGCCATCACCTCCTGTGGCAGTGAATTCCACGTGTTAATCACTCTTTGGGTGAAGCAGTACTTCCTTTTATCTGTTCTAACCCGACTGTTCAGCAATTTTATTGAGTGCTCACGAGTTCTTGTATTATGAGAAAGGAAGAAAAGTACTTCTTTCTCGACCTGCTCTATCCCATGCATAATCTTATAAACCTCGATCATGTCACCCCTCAGCCATCGTTTCTCCAACCTAAAGAGCCCCAAGTGTTTTAACCTTTCTTCATAGGGAAAGTGTTCCAACCGTTTTATCATTCTAGTGGTCCTTTTTTGTACTTTTTCCAATGCTATAATATCCTTTTTGAGGTGTGGTGACCAGAACTGTACACAGTACTCCAAATGAGGTCGCACCCTTGATTTCTCGACAGATCCCTTTGGAGTGCCTCACAACCTGGTTCTCACCACCCTGAACAACTTCGTGTAATCTGCAAACTTAGCCACTTCACTGCTTACTCCCAACTCCAAATAATTAATAAACAAGTTAAAAAGCATCGGACTGAGTACTGATCCCTGCGGTATCCCACTGCTTACCACCCTCCACTGAGAAAATTGCCCATTTATACTCACTCTCTGTTTCCTATTAATTAGCCAGCTTTTGATCCACAAAAGGACTTGTCCTTTTATCCCATGGCTATCGAGCTTACTTAGGAGCCTTTGATGAGAAACTTTATCAAAAGCTTTCTGGAAGTCAAGGTAAGCAACATCTATTGGGTCCCCCTTGTCCACATGTTTGTTCACTCCATCAAAAAACACTAACAGATTAGTGAGACAAGATCTTCCCTTACAGAACCCATGCTGAGTCTTCCTCAATAGCTTCTGTTCATCAATGTGCCTACTAATTGTCTCCTTCATAACAGTTTCCACCAACTTACCTGGTATTGACGTCTGACTGACTGGCCTGTAATTTTTCTCTCTGGAACCCTTTTTAAAGATGGGAGTGACATTAGCTACCTTCCAGTCCTCAGGAATGGAGGCAGATTTTAATGAAAGTTTACGTATTTTTTTCAGGAGATCCACAAGTTCACATTTGAGTTCTTTCAGAACTCTCGGATGTATGCCATCCAGACCTGGTGATTTATTAGTTTTTAAGTTGTCTGTCAGTCGTAGGACCTCCTCTCTCATTACCTCAATCTGACTCAGGTCTTAGGATAATTGGAGTTCATTCTTTTCCCCCAAGTTCAATCAGAGAGATGAGTAATACACTGGCCCCAACCAATGCCTCGGTTTTACTAGGGGACTGTGGAAATTCATCTGCCCACATCACCAGACTGGAACAAGACATTCACCTCTCCAGTATTCTTCTGTCAGCCTCAACAGAAATAAGCACTTTTAACCACTGCTGCCAGCAGGAGAGACAGAAATCTATAGATGTTAGTCCTCCTCCTACCTGAACACCCCTCTTCAAGAGCTTCCAGCCCATCCATTCATTTAATGATCACCTGCGTTTCCCTGGCCACCCACCTCTCTTCACGCTGGGCAAGGAGGTCCATGGCACAGGAGACAAACTTGTGATTTAAACACCCTGGAGAGAGTTGCTTTTCTCCTGCTCATTTTTTTACTTGCGAAGGAAGGAAGGCAGGCAGGCAGGCATGTGGGTTTTTTAAAAGGCCACAAAATCACAAGACCAATTTAATACAGAAGAATTTAGCCACTACCAGGAAAAATGCTGCTTACAAAATTAACCATAGGCATATGGAGCAGAGGTCCATCAGTGGCTATTAGCCACAAGGTATAGATAGGGGCTCTGGGGCAAGTGATGCTCTGTCTTCTTGGTGCTTGGGGGGGGGGGCAACAGTGGGAGGGCTTCTAATGTCCTGGCCCCACTGGTGGACCTCCTGATGGCACCTGGTATTTTCGGCCACTGTGTGACAGAGTGTTGGACTAGATGGGCCTTTGGCCTGATCCAACATTGGCGTCTCTTATGTTCTTATGTTCTTAACCAAACATGAAGCGAGAAAATGTCTACTGAGAGAATTCACTTCACTTTGCCTTAAATCTAAAGCTTATCCCTAGGCTTGTGTATGAGAAAGAAGTAGCATATGCTTAAAGGTACCAAATTTTTGTCTGGAGGAAAGTCACCACCTGATCCCGCCCCTGTCCCCAAGCCCAGGCCACAGTGGCCTCTTCTCTGTTCAGCTACTAAAGAAGAAAACAGCCATTTAGCTCTTTTATGAATCTGTTTTGTTACTCTGTTCATTTCAGCCCAAATTTTAAACAGTTCTTCTTGAATCATTTAATAACAGGCTTTTCCTATACCATGCTGTTTCCATTTTGGCTGCAAACAAAAGATTGACAGTAAACAGTGTAGAAGCAAGCAGAGCGCAGATTCCCCCCCTCCCCCGCCCCTGCCATTTAGGAGTGCTCAAAGGATCGGACTATGGAGTCACCCCTTGTATCTCTCCTTATATATAATTGAATAGTGGGTGCCAAAGTTCTAATTCTAAAATGCACTCCCTTAGTGTATGGCTGATGGCACTGCTCCTCAGCATATATCGCCACCAATCAGAAGGCAAAGCCCGGGTCCCGCCCACACCACAACTGCTGCGACAACCTGGTCTTTTGCATATGGAAGCTGATTGGACTTCAGTCCATTCCACACCTCAAACTCCCCCCCCCCCCCGCAAGGCAGTTGGAATTTTCAGTTGCATAACATACCTCATAGGGGAGAGGAGAATGGGTAACAATGGTTACCACTCTCCAGGTGAGGGCTACAGATAACTCAAACATACAAATGCTCTTCAGGTCTCAGAGATCAGTCCCTCTGGAGAAAACAGTGGACTCTGTCATTAAACCCTGCTGAGGTCGCCACAGGAAACTGACACTGTTTGCCCAAAGCCAGAGCACTCTCCCAGAGCCTCTTTCTAGATCTCGTTGTATTTATTTCCACAACGGGCCTTATTTCTAGTATATTGATATT